TCTCTAAAATGAGACGTTATTTTCCTGTTCTGTTTGAAGCTTTAGATTGATTAATATGAAAAAAATTGGATCACCTACAAATATGCAACACATAGGTATGTTGTATATACAGATGTATGTCCTAAAATTCGAATGCCAAGAAGTGTTAGATGCACTCTAATTAAAAGTGATTTATTACACCTAAACCTTTGTACCTTTTAGCGTTTTTATTATCTCTGGAAATGTTTTGGCTGGCTATAAAAAGGTTTTAGAGGCCAACGTCCCTAAATTTGAGGAAAAAAGTGACAAGTCTCAGGTAGAAACCACAAGTTTTAGTGCTTAAATTAAATAATCCTGATATTTATTCAGAAAAGTTACCGAATGACATCATCGCCATCTCTTTTGTAATACTGTATTTTATTGGTTTTGGATAAAATATTTCAATTAATATATAATATATGTATATAATGTACGATATATTTGATGGAAATTGCTAATTTAGTATTCATAAAATTCTGAGAAATAGTAGCCAGACTAATAGATGAAACTATTACTATATATTTTTTAACATCTTATCGTACCGTGTCTCATACGTGCACAGCAACAATCACGGCTAATCATACACTTTAAATCTAACTAAGCAAACTAATTACACGTAAAGCAAACATGAGATGTAAATATTGACAGACGTGATAGTAAACCTATTAATTACGTAAATCGAGTTTTGTATAAAAACGAATGAAGCACGCTAAACGCTAACATGCAATCTCATAACAGTTACGAAATGTAGCATCGTGATGCACAAGAAGTATTGTGTATTTGTACGGTCATAACTCAATGAAGATCTCACTTTTCATGTTTGGATGGGTACTGGGTAGTGGGATGGAACATTTTGAAGTACCTATATTCAAAATTGTAGCTGTAACAGTTGATAGCGATGATGTAATGGGAGGAAAACTTAAAAAGGTGTTATCGCATTGAAGTGATTGGTACATTGTTATTGATGTAAAAAGTACATAGGTAGATGCTTTATAAATCTATTAGTTAAATGAAATTAAATATAAATAAGCGAATAATAATTGACCAAGGGTTAAAAATATTGTCAATCTGCTAAATCAAAGTAACAAATATTTTAATAGTAGTAGTCTTTGAACAAAGACTGCAAATTAAACAATTGACTATGAACCTTTTCTCACAATTGTACACCGGTATAAATACTTAATACTTGCGATATAAATATGACAAGATGCAAGTAGCTGGTGTAATGGAAATATCTTAAGGCGATCGAGGTGTGGTCAACCTTGCATAGTAGACGCCGTTGTTCGCACCTTACTGTATTTAAAATGTTCAATCAAGTGCAGAGGCTAATGTATATGTACATACCAGTTATTACTTTGAAATAGATACGTAAGATAAAGGAGAGTGTGTCTAATTAGATATTGTCAGAATATAATTTTTTTAGCACAAGGTTCATAGACATACTTTTGAATTAAAACAAAGAACCCTCGATAGTAGTCAAAATAATGCACAAAAACTGTATCACTACGGGCTCATAAGACAGAAAAAGAAAGACCACATGTGTCTGTGTTTGTCACTCTCTAAGAAATACCTATGGATTAGTATCATCACTATCGTCATCATATCAGCCAAATCATCCCCTGCTGAGCTTTGACCATCCATCATTTAATTTTGATACCATAATATAAGACTCTAAATCGACCAAAGAAACAATCCATATTCTAAGCCATCAGCATAATGCAACTGAATCGCAATTGAACTTTCAACCTTGGCCCACAAATCAAATCACTCGCCACACACTAGTTGCACTTGTCTGTCTACCAAGAGAATTAATGATGCCATTCAAACAAATGCAAGCATAATAGCCACTAATATTGGCATTATCTTGTCAGGAGCACACAGTACGATCATTACTTTCTATCAATATATCATTTGCTGTATTGTGAAACAAAATGTCAACGTCACGCCAGCGCTAAAACATCACAAGCCTTATCTTGATACAATATGCTATCCTTAGCGATAAATCAGAAGAATGATTAAGCACGACTGACCGTCCATTGGCGAATAAATACAAAATGCTCTAACGAAGGCTATTCAGAGCAAATAACGAACTGAATATGACAATATGAGGCTAGATTATGAGAAGGATGACGCCACGAATTGTGCATTACTTACTGCAGGGTGACTTGTAAGAGAAACTGTGGGTAGGGATTTAAAGTATCGATAATATGATGAAGAAAATTGCTTATTTTATTACTGGTATACTGGTAGTTGATTTGGAAGTTGACAAAAAGCATACGAGCCGAAACCTAAAAGAGTGACATCTAGTTAGTGTAGGTGTAATTAAGGAAAGTCCGAATGTGACCGTTAGGTAAAAATTAATATTAACAGTTTACTAATAATGTCTATGTATTTTATTTTCAAGATTACCAAATTTATTCATTGTATCTGTCGCCGCTTTGATCTTAAGGAAAATGACGACTTGACTGAATTGGTTGCATCCCTAATTGTACGATGCACCACATATGATTGATTCTGATTAGAATTTGATGAAGAAAAGAGAAAGCTAGTGCGAATTCGATTTATGAACATGAATGTATCATTAGTGCTTATAGTAAGTAGATCATTTGCGTAATGACTTAAGATACCTTTCTTAGTTTACTGAATAGCTAATCTGGGCTGTATAAAGGGTTAAATTAATTTAGACTTTGAGTTATTTTATTTAAGTTCAGTATGTTTTTCCTTTGTCTGATAGTACTGCCTCAATCAGATTAAAACTTGTAATCCAACTAAAAATGACACTTGTCAATTTGCATAGTTCTCTAAACATGCAATAGATGGCGTTAATCTATTTTTATGAGTAGCTATCTCTATATTGTAACAAGTTCGCTTAAAAATAGCACTATAATCATGTTGTACTTCTTTTTAATTTCCGCAACCCATTATAATCGTGATAGCTTTCGATTTCACATGAATGCGATGATTATAGCAATTTTAACTGTGCTTTTGTAATAGCGTTATTTCTGTTTACTTTCAATTTTATTTTATGAGATCTTTGCTATTTATGAGTATTTTTCCTTGTTGTTAAGACGAGGAGAATTGTTATTTAGTTTTTCGCAGAATTAAAGCTTGATTATGCAATTCTCACTCTTTCTTTGCATAGCAAGAACCCCTCCATTAATTGGTAGGTACATATACATATTAAATGCAACTTTAGACAATGGAAATACGGCGCTAAGTGATAAAACTCCACTTAGTCTTACTGATGTTAATTTAATGAGAAAACTACATGGATGCATTATCTATGAAAGATAAACTATTACTTTTCTATTTTATAAATTGATTAATTAAAAAGCATTACGGATAGATTAATGTGTTTTAAATGCGTTATCAAATAATATTTGAATTAGACTGAGATATGGTAACGAGTACTGGTAATCATAAAATCATTCAATAATAAAAGAAAATGACTAAACACCTATTATTCAGCGTCTTTTTTTTTTTGTTAGAAAATTAGAACGTTTTGCCTCAAACTCTGTGTTCATTGCCTGTCACCGTTGCATCCACTATAGTCACTAGACCATCAAATAAGTTTTCATTATCAGTTTCATATACGAAAACTAGTGACCCATAGCAATCTTTTATCAAAATCCTTTCAACACTTCTTATTAAAGTATCGGTCTATTTAGAACCAGCTTTTTAAGCAAACATTGCCTAGTTATCGTTACATATAACAAGCAGCAAAAACTCACGTTTACACAGTCCAATACCCGTTAAAATGAATACGGAATCCACCACAACACTTTATGGTAAAATATTCTCACTTCCCTCAACAATACGGTTGCAATTACCTTGTGTTCTACGTGATTAGTTTCTTCCTAGTTAACAATACAATCAGTATCATCTATATTTTTGTTACAAATCATCGCAATATTGATTGATTGTGTTATTACGTCATCGATGGCTTTGTTAGCGTTTTTGCAAAGTCAGTAATTGCCAGCATTTACGCTTGCTTGTCCGTCATCATGTTTTGTGTTTGAGTCATTGAGATCCTCATAAATAATTTGTAAAAGAATTGTAACCAGTTAATTCAAGAAATGACCACCCACGACTGGTTTCTTGTTTGTTATTTGAATACTGATATTATTTTCAAGGATTGCTTTATTGATATGTCTACCTATTATCTTGACGGCGCCTATTGTAATAAAGATCTCGAATATCATTTACTTGTGATATTTTATGACAATGACATCTTACTGTCTGGCGCTACAATTGGAAGGACCCATATCGACTCACTTTTTGCAATAAAAAGCTACTTGAAGTTGCAATAAAATACCTATACATGTACTTTAAACATCAACTGTTTACTCTGTCCAGGTTTTTTAATCTATTGGACTTACGATTAACCACTCTCCATTGCTGCTAAAGCCATAACAATGTAAATTTAGCTACACCTACTTATATTTACTCTTATTTGACACACCACCTCATATAAACAACATTTGAAGCAAAACTGAGAGGATTAGTAGAGCGGAACTGTGTTGCGGCTGCGACGATGTCATCTGATTACAGCAACATTGCTACATTAGGATTAATATCTAAACTTCAGTAATCGCACCTTACAAAAGTAACGCCGACCAAGGTTATTCTTAAACAGACGTTTTGCAAGATAATATGAATGAAAACGTTTTAGTAAATGCTTGTAATGAAACTACTATTAAACATGTGTGTTATGACAATGTTGTAGTGTCAGAGTTTGTTGATGTAGGTTAGGATGATTATAATGTAGAAAAAGGGGAATAAATACGAAAGGTAAAAAAGAGCAATCCTTATAAGATACAGAGCCATAAGTAAACCAACGTTATATGATAAAGAAACAAACAAGAAGTACATAGTTAGCTACATCAGGTTAATTAGTTAAATAAGAGAATTTGTCTAAGGCATTATTTTCAAAATTTATGATCTGTTCAACTTTATTAAAATCTAATTTCTTTTGTCAACAGGAACACATACAGGAAGTATTGGATAAATGGACACAAATAGATGACGAGATATGGGCGAAGGTGATAGTGTTCGAGAGGAACAGACGCGTTGCCAAAGCGTATGCGCGTGCGCCCGTGCTCACTATCAACGGCTCGGACGACGGATTTGACGGCATGAGGTAAGGAAACATATTCATTACTATAAGTAACCTACGCATGTACAATTTTTTCACCAAATGTACTTGATAAGATGAAACTGTAATTGAAATCACATTCCATTAGTAACACCTTAGTAATTTTATCCTTTAACACCTTGTAGCACCAGGTTTAATAGTGATTCAAATAATCGTAATCTGGAATCAGTTTCTATACAATTTCCTTGTAATTCCAAGACCAGTCAATATCTAACTCGCACCAGATATTACTCAATCTTACAAACGCACCTAGTTTTAATTATAAATCAAGTTCCAACTAATCTGAGCATAATTGCGAAATGTCTGCATTGCTGAGTACTTAGTACTGAGCCGGCACCATTGTGGCACGTGGGTGCTCTAAATTCTAAACAATCCTATTTATTAGCGCTGAACATATTAATTTCTTGTTCCTAATCAATAACTGTCAGTTTAACAGTTCTGATTACAATTTCTTCTGTTGTTTTGCCTTTACATTGTTCTACTTCTTAATCAGCTGTTGGTTTCAATTTACTCGCCTGTCAGTCTTGTTCGGTGGGTCGTTATGGGTGATAGTCCAATTCATTGTTACGCTTTGTTTTATTGTTATCTGTTACAATTTTGTTTTTAATTGTATTGTTATTGACAATTTTAGCGTTATCTTGTATTAAAAAGATTTGTAATTCGCAAATGACTATTAAAATGTTGTTTGCTAATACCTTGTTTATATCTTTAAGTAATGTTAACATTTCTTCATTGAAATCAACTTTGGTGACTCCCATAAAGTGTTGATTACTCCTTGAAATACCTTCCCACCGGACCTCTTTTGTTTCTAATTCCTTTACAATAAGTGTCATTAAACTTTGGAACGCGCTCCCCCTCAATATTAAAAAAGCTCCTAATAAAATCTCCTTTAAACACCAAGTTCATGAATTTTACTTAAAATCGCTGCAACGCTAGGTCTAGGTCTTCGTCGATATATATTAATTTATGTATTTATACCTATATATTTTATGCACATGACTATATATACTATTTACTATTATGAAATATATATGTATAGCTACCTATATTATTGAATAATTACCTTTTTATTTATTTTTTCCTCTCTCTCTCTTTGCTGTTAGTTTATTCTCCGTACCTTATTTTTCGCAGATTTTCTATTTAAACCCTAAGGTTGACTGGTAGAGAATGCCATATGGCATTAAGTCCGCCTTATGTGCCATATTAAAATTGTGTACATTAAAGATTAAATAAATAAATAAAAATTACTTTCATTAGTTTCTGTGTCAATGGTGTTGACTACTAGTATTTTTAATTGTTTACTATTATCGTCATGGTAAATCGTTGCTCAATATAATTACTATTGTGAAACTATTTCTGGTTCAGCCACACTAGGACCTGTTGGAGTCACGTTGTCGTGATACGTTTCGCTTATCGATTAGAACGAGACATTCAGCTCATTATTTTAACAGTGTGAAGGCTTTGTCATTCGTTTTCGTCAGTTGTCTTATGTCTGACCTTATTTTTGAGACCAGCTTTAATTAGGAAATGGTAAAAGTGATATAAATTGATTGTTGGTCATATAAATCATTTATTTCTAAATGCTTACTGACATACTTTAATAAACATACAGCAACTGTTTTTCTATTAATGTTTCCGAAGTTTTATTGGTCTGTTATATATTGAATTCCTTGAATATTTTACGTGGTCAATAAAATCTTGGGCTTGGATGAATATCGACTTCCATCTATTATATGGTTCGTTGTACTTGGTTTCACTTATACAATCAAGATATTCAACCAGCTATAAATATTATAGTTCTGTAATCTCAGCAATTGATCTATTACTTTGTTCCGGATTCGATTACTTATGGATTAGAAAATTTTAATTTAGATCTTTGTTAATTAAAGCATATTGCATTACATAATAGACGTACTTACAACAAATAATGTTTAAGAGGTTGTTGTTTATAACAGTCGTTGGCCGAGTGGTCGCAAGTGCGACTGCCGGGCAAGGGGTCTCGGGTATGATTCCCGGGTCGGGCAAAGTATACCCCTTCCGGAATTAAAGGCGTGATGTTATGTTATGTTATGTTTTAAAGATACATCAGCCCAGCCCCAGTTTCCATTTTATTAATGAATTGATATCTTAATACAGGGTTTCATATCCAAGTAAAAAATCCCACGAGTTTCAAGCCTATATTTATTACCTATAATTAAAAGGCCAATAACGCAAAGTTTTTAGATGCCAATGAATTGTGTGAATTATATATAGATGCCGAAGTAAACGCTAACAAAAGACATGAAACCAACGAAGCGTGGTCCAAGCAAGGTTACGACAACGATACTAACTGTAGTTTCACCTGTTCTAGTGAAGAATAAATTGTTATCAAGATCATAATTCGTGTCAGCACGCGTGATAGTGAAAGTTTTGGCGAATAAGTAGGTGTTGAGCGTACATGTGATAAATCGGTGTTATGAAAAATGAGTAGAGAAGATTATGGATTTTAAAATTGAAATCGAATGTGTTTTTGCTAGTTTTATACTAGTTTCATGTACATCCAAAATAATGAGGAGAAATCAAGCTTTGAATTTTTAATGAAATAATGACAGAAAACACTAAATTCACAACAATACCAAAGCAGTAACTAGTCCCTCTATCTAGTTTACAATCATTCAGTGCGAGCCCATACTCCTTTCAAGCGCACTGATTGTCCAATTATCCTTAGTATATGGAGACTGCAGTAACAAGCCTCTTGTTCAACAAAATCAGTAATTGTAAACACTTCAATATCCATACGCATACCATTATCATAGTCTCTGCTCATGGTAAGGTAGTGTTAGGCAACCTCGCGTGCGAAAACGTCGATAACGTTTTGATTATGGCAATCAATTGCCCAACAGTGTGGCCAGCACACATCGAGGTTACGAGGATTGATACGTTAACAGACAGGTTTGGACAAGAACTGTTTATAGTTTAGCTTAATCGTGTGCATCTTGTTAGCATTTTGACTGAATGAAGCAACTTGTATTGATGTCAAATTTAAATTTTACCTAATTTACGCTTGAGACAATTATAATGTCGGAATTAACTATTGTTTTATGTGTTGTTAAATGAAGCTTTAAAATCAACAATTCATTTGCCGTATTAAACGTCGTAAATATTGAAATCAACATATTCAGTGAAGTGAACGTTGATGTCGTCCCATTTAATTAGGATTGAACTTAACTCACACCTCACAAAGCTGTCTCTAAATATTAAGTTGTTTCGAACAAACGTGATCGACTAGTTACTAATAAATTCGTGACCTAACTAACAACGACGTAGAAATAAGAGGTACTGCAAGTTTCCTTGAAGTTATGACAGATTGAGCTGTTGAGAACCGAATTATTGCTGTTCGTTTAGCAGCGGTCGTAGTTAGAAATGTCGGTAATAAATATATTTGTACGAATGTAGCAATATTTGTGGGTATGTTGCCAAACTTTGCCCGTTTCCCATGCTTGTAATTACGCTCGTTAGATAAATTAGTTGCTATTACCTTTAAATTATTATTACCTTCCATACATGCACCTCTAGTCCTCTAATCTCTATATTTAAGATTTACTTAAGAGTCTCCTAAAAGAAACAAGTTCTGCATAAACGCTAAGAATTTGCACAGAATTGCTTTTCTCCTCCATTCCCAGCTCGTTAAGGAATGTGGGCCAATCGTCATGCTCTGATACCGTCCCCTTATCGTCCACCTCTGTACTTATACTTAATTGCACATCATTACTTTTTAAATTACACCCTTCGATCAATGAATATGCATTAGCGATTATTATTTCTTCATTTCTATTTATATTGTTAAGTTTAGTCTTCAGCCCAAAGAAAATTCCTCGACAAATTCCATATACTTCCCTCATTCTTCGTCTATTCCCGGGATATTGAATAAATACATAAAATTAAGATGATAAGAGTGGTGGCGCGTGCCGATGTGATCTGTGCGCGCGCCTGCGCTCCAACCCGTAATGATACGGAAGTCCGTCGCGTCGTAGATCATCGTGCACTGTCCGTGCGCACTGTGACTTTATACAATACTGCTATTCGTTGGTGTCAATGTTCTTTTGGTTTTTTACTTCTTTTTTGTATTTTCTTGTAGGAACAAAGAAAATAAGAGGATTATTGTTCCAAGAGATGTGTGTCATTTTTATTTAAGATACATTTTGGACTGTTTAAACCAAAATTATCAAAATCTTTTTTACTATTACGTGGTTAGTAGTTCGTATACAATGTTTCTGACTCAAAATACCAAGTAGTTATTCTCAATGCTCAAAGGAAAACCATAAAATATGCGTTTGCAATAAACATACATTTACTTAAGACTAAACTAGCCACCATAATTTACTTTAAAACATTTACTTCAAAACCCACCTCTCCGTTTAATCCAGGATTTATTTAAAGCAAGATTTGCGCCTCCAGTTTTTACACTGGCTACAAGTAGGAAGTGTCGCCGACGGTGCACGCGCTATCAGATCCACACACACGAAAATCGCCATTTTAATGAAACCAGGCTCTTACACTAGCATTTAATTAGTCCAGATCTAATGTAAGCCTGGGCTAACAGCGAACAATAAAGATCGAACATTCTCCCTAATAATTAGGACTGCAACCGGTTGATAGTAAGCCGGCTTCTAATTTTATGTGAATTAATTGGACCTATCTTGTAGGAAGTGGAGTTTATGCACTTGTGCTACCGCGCTCGGGGTAAATAAAAGTAGGGATGTGAGATATAATTGTTACGTTTCTCTTTCAGTGTAGATTCACTTTATTCGTGCAAAGGCCTTTATGCGTAGCCAATTTGTATTGTGTTTAATGATTGTCAAAGCATTTTTAGCAGTGATTGCGTAAATGCTTTTTTCACGTTGTTGTGTACGCTACGAGGAAAAAAAAGTCAAAGCCAGTTTTAAAGCTAACAATCGTTCTACTCACAGCTTAAGAGAATGGCCTGCCTTGGGTAATTTGCGTAA